GGTCTTGATGTCTGTCTGGAGGCAGAAGAAACTCTGGGGGAAGCTTCCTCCGGGACCCACCCCATTGCCCTTCATCGGAAACTACCTGCAGCTGAATACACAACAGATGTACAACTCTCTCATGAAGGTGTCAGGACACGGGATGGGTGGAATGGGGGTGGGGCTGGAAGCCTGCCTAAATGAGCTGGGACTTGGTGGCAGGGGATGGGCAAGGTTGGACCAGAGTCTTAAGAAAGTGGAAATTTGCAGGTTGGCCAGCAGGGTCCTAGACAAGAAAGAGGCGATTTGGGGATGTCCAGCCCCTTGAGTGTCAGAACCTGGAGGAGATGCACGCAGTAGGTGAGGGCTGGGCACAGGGCCAGTTCCCAGTGCGGGCAGCAGCCTCTACGCACTCCCACCTCCATCAGATCAGCGAGCGATATGGCCCGGTCTTCACGGTCCACCTGGGGCCCCGGCGCATCGTGGTGCTGTGTGGACACGAGGCGGTGAAGGAGGCTCTGGTGGACCAGGCTGAGGAGTTCAGCGGGCGAGGCGAGCAGGCCACCTTCGACTCTCTCTTCAAAGGCTATGGTGAGGTGCTCCGGGTGGGAGCGTGTGGTCAGGCACACTTGGCCTCAGTTTCCCCACTGTTCTTCTCCTGACTCACTCACCCAGAGCTGTGGCCGAGTTCTACCCCTGCTTCCCTCTGTGCTTATCCCTGGTTATCGTGGCCTCTCCTTGCTCTTCTCTAGCTTGACTCAGGGTGTCTGAGTCTCTATTCCCCCTGCTTCTCGGCCCACCTCTCTGTTCTCTCTCACGGACGGATGCCTCTCCTTTCCCTGGGTCTGGGAGCAGTTCTTTGGGATTTCTGCCTTGGAGCCCCGGTCTGCAATCCCCGTGTCCTTGCCCCTTACTCCTTCTCAGCTTCTGAGCTTCCCCGTGCTTCTGCCTCCCTCTGTCTGTCTTTTCCTCCTCTGTGTGAGAATCTCACCTTATTTCTGCTTCACACCCCATGCCTTCAGCTCTGGAAACATCTTCTCCTCTCTCCAGACCCTCTCTGTTGTCTTTCCGTATTTTCCTCTTTCTCCAGCTCAGCGTTAGGATCCTCCATGATTTTTATTGCCACTTCCCAGGTCTCCACGGAGGTCAGGCTCCTCCTTCCTCCCTCTCTCCCTCTGCTTATGTGTCTCCGCATGTAGCTTGGTTTCTCTGGGCATCTGACTTGCCTGTCTCCCTCTGATTCTTTTCTTCCAAGCCGGTCTCTATCTCTTTCAGTATTTCTCTGACCCTGAGTTGTATTTCTCCCCGTCTCCCTCACCCCCCAACCCATCCTCCCACTCCGGGATGCGCTCACCTCTGCCCACCTCTGTCCCCGCCCCTCCCCGCCTCACCACACCCCCACGCTCCCTCCCCAGGCGTGGCATTCAGCAACGGGGAGCGAGCCAAGCAGCTCCGGCGCTTCTCCATCACCACACTGCGGGACTTTGGAGTGGGCAAGCGCGGCATTGAGGAGCGCATCCAGGAGGAGGCGGGCTTCCTCATCGAGGCCCTCCGGGGCACACGCGGTGAGCGGCGGGGGAGGGGGTCGGGAGTGAGCAAGAAGGAAGGGTACACCCACACGGACGCACCCTTTCTCCACTGGGAAGGGGACTGGCTTGGGGGAAGGCATCAGGGCTCCAGGCTCTGGGGTCTTGTGCTGGACGTTTGGCTCCTCACTCCAGTGCCCTCCTCCAATACTCAGGCTGCCATCAGACCGCCCAGTTGACGCTCCCCCAAATCCATGTCTCCTCCCCAACTCATCCCATTCCCCAGGTGCCTTCATCGATCCCACCTTCTTCCTGAGCCGAACAGTGTCCAACGTCATCAGCTCCATTGTCTTTGGGGACCGCTTTGACTATGAGGACGGAGAGTTCCTGTCACTGCTGCGTATGATGCTGGGAAGCTTCCAGTTCACAGCTACCTCTATGGGGCAGGTAAGCTGTCCCAGTCTGGCTCTACAACACCCCTACCACAACCCACCAATTGCTTTCCCCCATGGAAACGGGTGCCCCAAACTGCCATCCTCCTCCAGACCCGGTTCCATCAAAGCCACTCTTGTGACAATGCAATGGTTACACCAGAACACCCACTTTCCAAGGACACCTGGATATCTCAACAGATGCTGCCCCCAACCAAAAAACCAGAAACCAAACCAAACAAACAATGAACAGAGCCTGCAGGCAAGGTACATGTTATTGGCCCAGCCATGCCGCCTGGGGATGTGTTCCCATCCCAACTTACCTACCGGTCCCTATTACAATATTCCGTCTCTTAATACCTTAACACCTGAACAAGTGACCACCTCAGCCCACCTCCTGAATACCTGAACACCTGGCGCTATATAACCCAGCCTGCCAAGTCACTTGGTAATTGCACAGGTGTCCCAAACCACCTAGAGAAGTGCCCCTATAGAGCCCGCCGAAACACCTGAACATCTGGACAGGTGACCCAACCAAGAAGACCCCTACACATGTAAACACCTGGCTAGACGTTTCCCCAAACACCCAAATCGTGTCCCCCAACCCAGCTGACTCACTTACAGAAGTGCCCCCCATCAGCCCCTGTGAACATCTGAAACACATGAACAGGTATCTCCCCCTCCTCGACACTTGCATACCTGTCCCACTTTCACACCTCAACCTCACCTCATACAGAAGCCACCATTCTATATCCCTGAAATATCTGGGTACTTGTCTCCAACTGAGCCTACTCCACACCTAGAGATCTAAACAGGTGATCCACCATATCGGTCAGAAAAAATAGGTCAACACCTGAACATGAGTCTCCCAATTCAACCACATCTGAATATCTGAACCCCCAGATGTGTTCTCCAATCCAGCCTCACCCCAATACCTGAAACCTGGATATGTGTCCCAACCCATCTCACCGACATTCTGGGAAAGAGGCCCTCACACTCACGTGAAACTGAGCTATCTCCTCCCATCATGCTCCGTATAAATCCTAAACACCTGCACAGGTGCCTTTAACCCACTGCCTTCCTTGCCCTGAGAAAGGTCCCGCTCCCAGCAGGACCTGCCAGTGAACAACTATCCTTCCCTTTCTTGTCTCCCCATCCTCAGCTCTATGAGATGTTTTCCTCAGTGATGAAGCACCTGCCAGGGCCACAGCAACAGGCATTTAAGGAGCTGCAGGGTCTGGAGGACTTCATAGCCAAGAAGGTGGAGCAGAACCAACGCACCCTGGACCCCAACTCCCCGAGGGACTTCATCGACTCCTTCCTCATCCGCATGCAGGAGGTACAGCCCAGCAGCCAGGGCGGACAGCAGCAAAGCCACGCAGAGGGAAACCAGGCTGGGAAGGGGCGAGCAGAGGGCCCTTCAAATCATCGCCCTCATAACATCCTCACAATCTCAACAATAATAACCGTGGCTGCTCCATCCACCAGCACTTGTCCATGGGCAGGACCTGTGTGCAAGCCATCAAGCAACACTTCCATAGCATGCACTCGCTCTCTGTATCCCTCTCCTCAATATTCCTACCTTAAAAGAGTGAACAGCAGGGCTGATGAGTAAAGGACAGGTAGGCAGCCAGGTAAAGAGTGTGGGAAGGGCATTTTGGGCAGAGCCAGCAGCCTGAACAAAACCCTGGCAGAAGTAGGGTCTCTCTTCCCACCTCTGGTCTGGACCTAAGAGAGGTGGGTCCAAATGGAAAGACCCCAGAAGGGCTCTGAGAGCCCTGAGGGGGAGTGGGCCTGGCCTGAAGGCCTCTCTCCCTTCAGGAGCAGAACAACCCCAACACGGAGTTCCACATGAAGAACCTGGTGCTGACCACACTGAATCTCTTCTTTGCGGGCACTGAGACGGTCAGCACAACCCTGCGGTACGGCTTCCTGCTGCTCATGAAGCACCCAGAGGTGGAGGGTAAGACTGTGAGGGCGGGGCGGTGAAGTGGTGGCCACAGACCCTTACACTTCCTCTGAGCACACTGCAATGTGCCCACATTTCCCAGATGTCTGGAACCTCAGACATACCCTGTTATCCAGATGCTAGCTGATATTCTGCTGATAAGCACCAGCTGAGTTGCACTGGCTGTTAAAATCCTGAAATATCTGAACCGATGGGTAAATAGCTCCTGTGCTGAGTCAAACAGCTCCCGTGTTGAGAGCAGGTGAATAGGACGCTGCACCAATCATGCTTATGGTCAAGGTCTGTTTTGAATCATCTACGTCCATATCACACATGGATGTACACATTTGGACTATCATCTCCACCCTGAGACTGCTAGGTACCTAAACACTTTCCCCCTCCTCCCACAGCCAAGGTCCATGAGGAGATTGACCGGGTGGTTGGCACGAACCGTCAGCCCAAGTTTGAGGACAAGGCCAAGATGCCCTACACAGAGGCGGTGATCCACGAGATCCAAAGATTTGGAGAGATGATCCCCATGGTCGAGGCCTGCAGAGTCACCAAGGACACCAAGTTTCGAGAGTTCCTCCTCCCCAAG